GAGAAGTGACAGAACCTCGAGCAAGATTTAACTACCAGCATGTTACTTCAGCCTCATCAGTTAAGTTACTTGTACAGTATATCTTAGCTAGTATCTTTATCCAATAAACCACTCGACACTGCTCCTACACTGGGCAGTGGGGGGTGTGTGGGGGGTGGGGGTGCCTGCTGACTGTTTGAGGCCTAATAGGTCTGTGTGTAGACCTAGTGATCAGTGTGTGGGGCCTGGCGGACACTCTTGGAGGACTGTGTTGGAGGGCTATGGAGGACGATCTGTAGACAGACTGATATTAGAGTAAAATTAATATTAGTTGTAGTGACAGTAGAAATATACAGAACTGTATGCCTATTGATTATTAGTGAAAATTAGTAGCAGTAGTAAACATAGTAAGTTAAACAAGTTGTTGTGGGTGGGTTTCAACTAACTTTACTAACCATAACCTAACCTAAGATAAACTATTCCAAGACATAAATTCAGTATTTTTTTGTCACTTACGTTAACTGATCATGAATTCATAAGTTAATTTTGAAAAGTTAAATTTGACTTTTGTAAATAATTAATTTTTGAAAAATTATGTACATTTGACGACAGTTTAACTACATGTTGTTTAGTGGTAGATGGATATTGTATGTTTAACATTCATTCTACATAAATGCCAACTTTAAACATGTTGCAGGTGACAGCTGATGTATGTGAAGGCCAATGGAGAAGTGACAGAACCTTGAGCAACATTTAACACCCAGCATGTTACTTCAGCCTCATCAGTTAAGTTACTTATATATATCTTGGCTATTATGGTCATCCCATAAACTACTCAACACCGTGCTTCTACACTCGGCAGTGGAGGGTGTGTGGGGGGCCTGGCTGACTGTGTGATGGAGGGTTCTGGAGGACTGTGTGATGGAGGGTTCTGGAGGACTGTGTGTGATGGAGGGCTCTGGAGGACTGTGATGGAGGGCTCTGGAGGACTGTGTGTGAAGGAGGGCTCGTGAGTACTGAGTGGACAGATTGGTCTTCGAGTAAAATTAATATTAGTTGTAGTGACAGTATAAATATACAGGACTACATGCCTATTGGTTATTAGAGAAAATTAGTAGTAGTAGTGGTAGTAGTAGTAAATACAGCAAGTAAAGCAAGTTGTTGTGGGTGGGTTTCAACTAACTTTACTAACCTAACTTAACCAGCCTAAGTTAATTAAACGTAATAACGTAGACTGAACCAAATCCGTAATAAGGTCACCGCGACCCGTAGCTGGGGACGTCAAAGGCTCGGTCGGATTGGTACACCGTCAATGACTCAGCTCATCTTGGAGGGAGGGGGGGGGGGTGGCGAGCTACCTCCCGTGTCCTGGCTGAACTGCGAGAGGGGCAACCACTGGTGTCCTGCCTCCCTGCGAGATGGTCGTTGATCTACCCGACCCGTCTTGGGACAACAACCACGGAGTCTAGCATGTGTAGGAGTCGATGGGGTCACTGAGCCCGAAGGCGAGATGAAGGTAACGGGCGCCTGGTGCGTCTTGGGCAGATCCTCAACTGGCTGCCTCTGGCCGTGCACGTGTGGCGTTTGCGTGGTTGAGACCCTTTCCCCCCACTGGGAAAAGGGCCTTCCCCCGCGCATTACCACGTGAGTGCACATGTCGCCGCGCTTCTCTGGGCGCACACGTCGCCACCTCAGCTTGTTTGCAGCTGGGTGGGTGGAGCGGCCCAAAAAGCTCCCATCTCGCCTCCCCATTTTCCCTTCCTTCATATCTTTGAGTTATATATAAAAATAAGTGTGTTTATGTCTACTTAAATAAATTATATACAATATGCCTATATGCCTATCGATTGATTTTTATCCTAAGAGTTATCTGATAAAAATGTGAATTTATTAGGAAGGTACTGGTATGGAGGGTAGGACATGGAACACTATGAATTAGTGGTTTATTTGTAGTAATAATTATATAAACAAAATGACAACTCATAATTTATGGTCAAGTGAAAAAAAATTGTAGCTCAGTCGTATTTAATATTTGGTTAGGTAGGTTAAGTTAAAGTTAGGGTAGGTGAGGTTAGGTGAGGCTAGGCTAGGTTATTTCCATGTTTTGTGCCAGTTATTCACTGGCAATGGGGGGGGCAATTGTACATGAACCAAGCTGTGCAGCTTTTTACAACCATGACGTGCACAAAGTCTGGGGCTGGTGCCCCCACACACTTGGCAAGCTCAAATATTCTGCAAGATAAGTTTTAAAAAGGTTTCTGTTCAGTTTCTGAAGGGTCACCTCAAAAGACTTGTCAGAAGCATACCAGTCTATATATATATATATATATATATATATATATATATATATATATATATATATATATATATATATATATATATATATATATATATATATATATATATATATATATATATATATATATATATATATATATATATATATTTTTTTTTTTTTTTTTTTTTTTTTTTGATATGACTGTAGCTTATGTATGCAGCTGGCCAATGGGTGGAGCGACCCAAAAATGTTTGGGCGCGCCCCCACACATGCCGTCGTCCAACGGGCGTGTTTCGCCTTGTAGTAGGTGACCGCGACCAGTAGCAGGGGACGTCGAAGGTTCTGTCGGATTGGCACCCCACTACCGACTCTCTCAGCTCGTCTGAGTGGGGGGGAGGGGGGAGTTCCGCACGACTGGGGGCAACCGCCAGTATCCTGGCTGTCCTACGACAGTCGTAGAGAAGAGCGCCGCCTCCACCTCGACTGTGGGGGTTTGCTCTCGCGACGTGCAGAGGGTCGGTGATCCACCCGACCCACCTCGGAACACGGACCACGGAGTCTAGCGTGTGTGGGAGTCGATGGGCTCACTGAGCCTGAAGGCGAGATGAGGGCAACGGACGCCTGGTGCGTCCTGGGCAGATCCTCAACCGGCTGCCTCTGGCCACGCCCGCGCGGCGTTTGCCGGGTTGAGACCCCCAGGGTCTCACCCGGCGTATTGCCGCGCGAGCGCGGTCGGGGTGGTTGGTTGGGGGTCTGCCCAGGACGCACCAGGCGCCTGTTGCCTTCATCTCGCCTTCAGGCTCAGTGAGCCCATCGACTCCCACACACGCTAGACTCCGTGGTCCGTGTTCCGAGGTGGGTCGGGTGGATCACCGACCCTCTGCACATCGCGAGAGCGAACCCCCACAGTCGAGGTGGAGGCGGCGCTCTTCTCTACGACTGTCGTAGGACAGCCAGGATACTGGCGGTTGCCCCCTGTCGTGCGGAACTCCCCCCTCCCCCCCACTCAGACGAGCTGAGAGAGTCGGCAGTGGGGTGCCAATCCGACCGAACCTTCGACGTCCCCGGCTACGGGTCGCGGTGACCTACTATGAGGTGAAATACTCCTGATTAGTCCATGAGAAATCAAAGCCTCACACGCTTTGGTCTCTCGGCGCGCACGTCGCCACGCTTCTCTGGGCGCGCACGTCGCCACGCTTCTCTGGGCGCGCACGTCGCCACGCTTCTCTGGGCGAACACGTTCCAGCAGTTTTTCTCTGGGCGTGCACGTAGCCATTACAGTTTCCGTCACAGCATATGCTGCAGCCTTCAATGCAGTGGCCCATCGTGTCTTGACCGAGATTTATTCCACCAGTCAATGCGATAACAGCTCGTGGTTCAATATGACCGGGGTGCATGTCTCATTCTAGTACTCGAGCAAACTAAGAATAGTTCTTGCCACAAACTCGAAGCAAACAGGGTGACCCATTCTATCCTCACCTAACAATTGATGATGGTGGGTCCCACCCGCTTGAGCCCATGTCCCCACAAATGATAAAGGTTGAGCTAGTCTTGGGGCACCTGCATTAACATTTGATAGATATACTGCCCCACTCAAACTTCACACCAAATAATGAGCGGCATGCCGACTCGTCGGCGCACGCTTCTCGGCGCACACGTCGCTACCTCGGTTGGGTGGGTGGAGCGGCCCAAAAATGTTTGGGCGCGCCCCCACACACACGCCGTCGTCCAACGGGCGTGTTTCGCCTCGTAGTAGGTGACCTTGACCAAGCATCCATTACCCAGCTCATAGCAGGTCTACTAGCAACACAATAAATGCGGAAAAGAGAGGCCTGGGGTGAAATTGCTGCCTCATTCAACGCCAGCAACTCTGACCAACTCCCTCGCACAGCCAAGCAGCTCAAGAGGAGCTACGGACACTTAAAAAGGAAGTAGAGTATATGCTTATTAATGTACGGTGTTTTTCCATTAGGTTACTAAATTAAGTAGGATTAGAGTATTTAAGTGACGGGTCATGTGAGGAAGCTCGCCTCCTACCGAAGTAGACAGAAGGAAAGCTCCCATCTCGCCTCTCCATTTTCCCTTCCTTCATATCTTTGAGTTGTATATAAAATTAAATGGGTTTTTTATGTCTTTCATAATATCTATATGCCTATTGATTGATTTTTCTCTTAAGAGTTATCTGATAAAAATGTGAATTCATAGGGAAGGTACTGGTATGGAGGGTATAACAGTAAATAGGTGCCTCTGCCATACTTTTAGGTTCTCTTGTTTGAAATCTGTAATGCCAATTTTTACCCTGACTATATACAAGCTATATGGTTTCAGAACAATTACCCCCCTCCCCCCACCATAGGACAACTGCCCTCTGGACAATTACTCCCCCCCCCTTCCTTGCCAGTGAATAACTGACACAATCATGGAACACTAAGATATAGTGCTATATTTTCATACTTTTTTTTGTAATAATTATATACACAAAATGACGACTCATAATTTATGGTCAAGTGAAAAAAAATTGTAGATCGGTCATATTTAATATTTTGTCAGGTAAGGCTAGGCTAGGCTATTTCAAGTTAGTTAGGTTATTTCCATGTTTTGTGCCAGTTACTCACTGGCAATGGGGGGAGGGGCCAATTGTCCTAGACCCAAGCTATGCAGCATATAACTCTATATAGCAACATTTTACGACCACGACGTGCACCAAGAAAAATGTGCAAGTCTGGGGCTGGTTCCCCCACACACCTGGCAAGACAAGTTTCAAACAGGTCTGTTCAATTTTTGAAGGGTCACCTCAAAAGACTTGTCAGAAGCATACAAATCCTCATATCTATATATATTATCATATAATAATTTTTTTGCAGATATGACTGTAGCCTACAGTATTTAAGGCCTACTTCAAAAAATGTTTTGTTTGTTTGTTTTCGATCTACTGATGTAAGTGCACAACAGCATCGTAAAGTATAACCATGTTTTTGTACTCCATTTTTATGGCAAATTTACATTTTTTAAACTATATACACTCTTTGAATATTACTGTATTGTAAAATCCGACAAAACCGTCATATATTTCTTTTGTGATGCATATATGTACAGTAAATGATATTAGTCTGTTCTGCATCCCCTTTGGCCATAGGCATTGGTGATGAAAGCATTATAAAAGCCAATGCTGCTGCTATTGTTATACAGCATTAATTTCTATAGTTTCTTTCAGAACTATAAAAACAGAGATATAGAAGACCGAAAGCTTAAAAAGACAGGTGGTGGTCCACGAGAAAAAAATATTAAAAGCTTCAGAAGAAACTGCCTTAACAGCATCACTGATGAGGGCCGAGTTAGCAGTGGCTGGTGATTTTTACGAGACCTTCCGCAGTCACCCAGTAGATGAAGAAATAATTCCTTATAGAATGTGCAGATAGGTGAGAATATTTATTGATTTATACAGTTGTATGCATTCTCATTGATACCATTGCTCAATCGCCTTTGGCTGTGTAAAAATCAAACGGCAGCAGTGACCTACCTTATACTGACTTTTTGCAGTTTTGCCTGTTCCAACCCCAGGGCCATCAACTGTGCTCACCAGTCATTGTTCCTGCCTCGACAGTGAATGCTCCTACCTCACCAGTGAATGCTCCTGCCTCGCCAGTCATTGTTGCTTCACCAGTCATTGTTCCTGCCTCACCAGTCCTTGCTCCTGCCTCACCAACACTGGAGCAGGTTCAGGTACATTCAGGAGCCTGGGCATGCGTAACAGACGTGACCAATCGTCCAAGCGGCTAACAAGCCAATCAGTGGTGAATAGGATAAAAGTATATACATGCTGTTAGAAATTTATTTTCTTACATTTTACAATTAAATAATTTGATTTAAAGTAAATAAATCTACATTAATTTATTTTGTCAAAAAATTTCTTAAGTTAAAAAAGCCGTCGGAAGTATAGCGGCTAATATTTTGCTCAAGTTGCCGCGCTTTTCTGGGCGCACACGTCGCCGCGCTTCTCTGGACGCACACGTCGCCGCGCTTCTCTGGGCGCACACGTCGCCGCGCTTCTCTGGGCGCACACGTCGCCGCGCTTCTCTGGGCGCGCACGTCGCCACCTCAGCTTGTATGCGGCTGTGTGGGTGGAGCGACCCAAAAATGTTTGGGCGCGCCCCCACACATGCCGTCGTCCAACGGGCGTGTTACTTTTCAGCCGATGGGACGCCGACTTAGCTGAAGCGAGATGAGGTTCCAACGGACGCCTCGGTGCGGCCGGGCAGATCCTCAACCGGGTCTGCTGGCCACGCCCGCGCGGCGTTTGCCGGGTGAGACCCCAGGGTCTCACCCGGCGTATTGCCGCGCGAGCGCGGTCGGGGTGGTTGGTTGGGGGTCTGCCCAGGACGCACCAGGCGCCTGTTGCCTTCATCTCGCCTTCAGGCTCAGTGAGCCCATCGACTCCCACACACGCTAGACTCCGTGGTCCGTGTTCCGAGGTGGGTCGGGTGGATCACCGACCCTCTGCACATCGCGAGAGCGAACCCCCACAGTCGAGGTGGAGGCGGCGCTCTTCTCTACGACTGTCGTAGGACAGCCAGGATACTGGCGGTTGCCCCCTGTCGTGCGGAACTCCCCCCTCCCCCCCACTCAGACGAGCTGAGAGAGTCGGCAGTGGGGTGCCAATCCGACCGAACCTTCGACGTCCCCGGCTACGGGTCGCGGTGACCTACTATGAGGTGAAATACTCCTGATTAGTCCATGAGAAATCAAAGCCTCACACGCTTTGGTCTCTCGGCGCACACGCCACGCTTCTCTGGGCGCGCACGTCGCCACGCTTCTCTGGGCGCGCACGTCGCCACGCTTCTCTGGGCGCGCACGTCGCCACGCTTCTCTGGGCGCGCACGTCGCCACGCTTCTCTGGGCGCGCACGTCGCCACGCTTCTCTGGGCGAACACGTTCCAGCAGTTTTTCTCTGGGCGTGCACGTAGCCATTACAGTTTCCGTCACAGCATATGCTGCAGCCTTCAATGCAGTGGCCCATCGTGTCTTGACCGAGATTTATTCCACCAGTCAATGCGATAACAGCTCGTGGTTCAACATGACCGGGGTGCATGTCTCATTCTAGTACTCGAGCAAACTAAGAATAGTTCTTGCCACAAACTCGAAGCAAACAGGGTGACCCATTCTATCCTCACCTAACAATTGATGATAGTGGGTCCCACCCGCTTGAGCCCATGTCCCCACAAATGATAAAGGTTGAGCTAGTCTTGGGGCACCTGCGTTAACATTTGATAGATATACTGCCCCACTCAAACTTCACACCAAATAATGAGCGGCATGCCGACTCGTCGGCGCACGCTTCTCTGGGCGCACACGTCGCTACCTCGGTTGGGTGGGTGGAGCGGCCCAAAAATGTTTGGGCGCGCCCCCACACACACGCCGTCGTCCAACGGGCGTGTTTCGCCTCGTAGTAGGTGACCTTGACCAAGCATCCATTACCCAGCTCATAGCAGGTCTACTAGCAACACAATAAATGCGGAAAAGAGAGGCCTGGGGTGAAATTGCTGCCTCATTCAACGCCAGCAACTCTGACCAACTCCCTCGCACAGCCAAGCAGCTCAAGAGGAGCTACGGACACTTAAAAAGGAAGTAGAGTATATGCTTATTAATGTACGGTGTTTTTCCATTAGGTTACTAAATTAAGTAGGATTAGAGTATTTAAGTGACGGGTCATGTGAGGAAGCTCGCCTCCTACCGAAGTAGACAGAAGGAAAGCTCCCATCTCACCTCTCCATTTTCCCTTCCTTCATATCTCTGAGTTGTATATAAAATTAAATGGGTTTTTTATGTCTTTCATAATATCTATATGCCTATTGATTGATTTTTCTCTTAAGAGTTATCTGATAAAAATGTGAATTCATAGGGAAGGTACTGGTATGGAGGGTATAACAGTAAATAGGTGCCTCTGCCATACTTTTAGGTTCTCTTGTTTGAAATCTGTAATGCCAATTTTTACCCTGACTATATACAAGCTATATGGTTTCAGAACAATTACCCCCCTCCCCCCCCCATAGGACAACTGCCCTCTGGACAATTACTCCCCCCCCCCTTCCTTGCCAGTGAATAACTGACACAATCATGGAACACTAAGATATAGTGCTATATTTTCTTTTTTTTTTTAATAATTATATACACAAAATGACGACTCATAATTTATGGTCAAGTGAAAAAAAATTGTAGATCGGTCATATTTAATATTTTGTTAGGTAAGGCTAGGCTAGGCTATTTCAAGTTAGTTAGGTTATTTCCATGTTTTGTGCTAGTTACTCACTGGCAATGGGGGGGGCAATTGTCCTAGACCCAAGCTATGCAGCATATAACTCTATATAGCAACATTTTACGACCACGACGTGCACCAAGAAAAATGTGCAAGTCTGGGGCTGGTTCCCCCACACACCTGGCAAGCCCAAATATTCTGGCAAGACAAGTTTCAAACAGGTCTGTTCAATTTTTGAAGGGTCACCTCAAAAGACTTGTCAGAAGCATACAAATCCTCATATCTATATATATTATCATATAATAATTTTTTTGCAGATATGACTGTAGCTACAGTATTTAAGGCCTACTTCAAAAAATGTTTTGTTTGTTTGTTTTCGATCTACTGATGTAAGTGCACAACAGCATCGTAAAGTATAACCATGTTTCTGTACTCAATTTTTAATGGCAAATTTACAGGTTTTAAAACTGTCTACAGGCCCTTTAAATATTGCTGTATTGTAAAATTCTACAAAACCGTCATATATTTCTTTTGTGATGCATATATGTACAGTAAATGATATTAGTCTGTTCTGCATCCCCTTTGCTCATAGGCATTGGTGATGAAAGCATTATAAAAGCCAATGCTGTTGCTATTGCTATACAGCATTAATTTCTTCTCTTTCTTTCAGAAATATAAAAACAGAGATATAAAAGACCGAAAACTTGAGGGCCGAGTTAGCAGTGGCTGATGATTTTTACGAGACTTTCCGCAATCACCCAGTAGATGAAGAAATAATTCCTTGTGGAATGTGCAGTAGGTGAGAATATTTATTGATTTATACAGTTGTATGCACTCCCATTGATACCATTGCTCAATCTCCTTTGGATGTCTAAAAATCAAACGGCAGCAGTGACCTACCTTATACTGACTGTTTGCAGTTTTCCCTGTTCCAACCCTAGGGCCATCAACTATGCCTCACCAGTCATTGTTCCTGCCTCACCAGTGAATGCTCCTGCCTCACCAGTCAGTTTTCCTGCCTCACCAGTCATTGTTTCTGCCAGGGCCGGCGCCAGCCTATTTGGCGCCCTTAGCAGGACTGCAGCTGGCGTCCCCACCCGCCTCCCACTTCACGATTGGGTTTGCCCACAAAGTAATCCAGGTACCATATTGAAGAAACTGTTTACCTTACACTGATCTATTTTAATTTGCTAATACATACATTAATTAGCAAATACTCTTAAGCACAATACAATAATGGCATGAAAAGTGACTGTAAAGAAACACTCAAAATCAAACTACTATTGTATTTAAACATTAAGCAATTCAATTAACATGTCATGACATTCTGGATTCCGCCGTTTTCTCGTTTTCGCTACGTGCCTGCTTATAACCGTTAACTTGATTCCTGGAAGCGAATTCGTCGATTACATCGTCATACGATAACTAGAGAGTCTAGACACTGCAATGTTCACACTGATGATGGCCAACTCACTAAGATGTTCCTGCGCCATTGTGGATCGCAATAAGTTTTTATCAGTTTTAACTTAGAAAAGCTCCGCTCTGCTGCCGACACCGTTACAGGGAGAGTTGCACAGATCCGCAGAGCTACCCACAAGTTCGGGAATACTTCAGTAAGTTTCTTTTCATGCAGGAAGGTGAGAAAATCCATTGTCATTCTCTTGGAAGGCAAATCTGGGAGACACTGCAGCTCCATGGCCAGTTCCCTTCCATCAATGTCTGAGTTTCCCCCATGAGTAAGCGTGTTGCTGAGGGTTTGGCAGTGATCGACAATATCTTTGTCAGACATGTCGGTGAACCCCAACAATACCTTGAACTTTTCATTCACCTCGCCCAAGGTCTTGAACCTCTCATTAAGAGAGGAAATCACAGTATCCACTACCACATTGAAAAATGTAGTCTCCATCCTCTTGAGTACATCGCTGACAGGTTCGTCTGCACACTCATAGCTAAAGTGACATTTTTTAGTTCTTAGTCTCTTCTGTTTCAGCACCGTGTCTACGCTCATCGCTTCACAGATTTCTTTAGCAATAGTTAGTGCATCAGCAAAACCTGTATTTCTGTAGCTGACAATATCATCTCTGGTCTTTTTGAGCAGATCTACAGCCACGCCGAGCTGTATCGTACTCGACTGCATTAGTTTGCTCACGTGCTGAATTTTGCTGAGTATATCATACCACACAACTGAACAAATGACAAAACGGTATGACCCTACTTCCTCTGCCAACGATTAAGCCTCAACTTTGACGACAGGGTCAGTTGCAGATTCTCTGTGCTCCAAAAGCGCTTCTTTGATTTGCGCAGGTTGATATCTAATTGCCTCCACACTTTTTACTCGGCTTTCCCATCTGACGTCTGACCACGGTTTCAGATTAATATTAACATGTTTTAAAAGAACTTGCCACCTCTGAGGAGAGACTGAAAACAATGTGAATACTTTCGTTAAATATCCAAAGTAACAAGTTGCATTTAGGGAGCTCTTGGCAGCGTCGCCTAATATCAAATTCAAATTATGGGCACCACAAGGATCAAATAAGGCCCGAGAATTCTGTTGAAGAAGCCTGGCTTGAACTCCTTTGATGTTTCCTCTCATATTTGCTTCATTGTCGTAGGATTGACCTCGATAATCCTCAAAAGAAATGTTCATTTGTTTGTCTTCCGAGTAGAAGTCATGACAAATTTAGCCCTGTAGACTTCTCTACCGCAAGGAACCCCAAGAAATGCGCCTTTATTGTTGGCTTGTCTTCAAGAAAGTTGCTCTTTGTGACTCAAATCAGGGGTGCAGTCTAAAATTGAGAAGTATTTCGATGCTTTGATATCGTCCATGATTCTCTCAGTAATCTTTGCACTGATAATGTTAATCAGTTCATTTTGGATCATTTGGCCAAGGTAGTGAGTGTGACTGTGATTGCCTGCATTACTTTCAACCCTACTTAAATGATTCTCCATAACGATCAAATTTAACCAAAAGTTCCACTTCTTGGAGAAAAATACCATTGGATTGACAGTTAAGTTTTTCGGTTGACCCTCTAGAGCCAAATTGCTTTCAGCTAGAGACTGAATAATCGCCATTAGTCTAGTGAGGACTTGGCGCCACCCGTTCCACTCAGCCATTAACATTTCCATTTCCCGTCTGTCTATCGTCCTTCCTCTTGCAATGTTGACCTCCAGTTCCTTCTATGTTGTCATGTTTTTAGTGTGTTCTATGCTACTTTCATGTGTGCTGAGCAAATGACTAGCATTTTTTCAATCATTGATGCCTTCTTCAGCCATTCTAACATGTTTTGTAGAAAACATTTTACAACAGAAGCAAAAAAGTTTATCCTGTTTCACCAAATACATTAGCCAACTTCTTTGGATCTTCTCTCCATTTACTAAGATTCGGCGAAAGTAATCATGTTGACATCTTCTCCCATCCTTTTTTGGAAACACATATTTAAGATCAACTTGTAAGGTCCTCTGCGAACAAGTTCTGCTTTTTTCCTGGTTGGACATTGAGGATGGCCAGTCGGTAGGGTCAACAAGTGCAACCTTAATCTACGACTCTCAATATGGGTTTACAAAGGGAAAATCTTGTCTAACAAATCTGCTAACGTTTTTTAGGAAAGTCTTCGAGGTAGTAGATAATGACGAAAATTACGATGTTATTTACTTAGACTTTAGCAAAGCATTTGACAGAGCACCGCATCAGAGGCTTCTGAGAAAAATTAAGGCTCATGGTATCGAGGGGAAAGTTTTAAATTGGATAAAATCATGGCTCACCGATAGAACTCAGAGGGTCAGCGTAGATGGTGTTAAATCTGAGTGGGGCCGTGTAACCAGTGGGGTTCCCCAGGGGTCAGTACTAGGCCCACTCTTGTTCATAATCTACATAAACGATCTAGATACTGGGATCAGCAGTGACATAAGCAAGTTTGCGGATGACACCATAATAGGGCGGCAAATTAATTCAGGGCAGGATGCAAATGCATTACAGAAGGATCTAAATATACTGCAGGGGTGGTCTGAAAAATGGCAAATGAAATTTAACACCAGCAAGTGCAGCGTACTTAATATTGGAAGAACATATACTTATAATGTATACAGCCTTAACAACATCAACCTAGAGAAGTCGACTTGTGAAAGAGACCTAGGGGTACCTGTAAGCCCGGACCTACGGCCTAGAAAACAGTGCGCTAATGTTCGAAATAAGGCAAACAGAGTATTGGGTTTTATATCTAGAAGTGTAAGTAACAAGAGTGCAGAGGTCTTATTGCAACTATATCTTGCGCTAGTCAGACCGCACTTCGATTATGCGGTTCAGTTCTGGTGCCCCTATTATAGAATGGATATAAATTCACTTGAGTCGGTGCAGCGAAGAATGACATAAATGATTCCGGGACTTGGAAACCTTCCATATCAGGATAGGTTAAAGAAACTTAACTTGCATTCCCTAGAAAGACGAAGAGTGCGGGGAGATATGATAGAAGTATTTAAGTAGGTGAAAGGAATCAATAAAGGGGATATAGATAAAGTTCTTATAATATCCGAGCAGGATAGGACTCGGAGCAACGGATTCAAGTTGGATAAGTTTAGGTTTAGGAGGGAGATAGGAAGAAACTGGTTCACAAATAGGGTGGTGCGGGAACTCTGGAAAGTTTCAAAAGGAGGCTAGATAGATTCATGGATGATAGTGGTAGTAACTCTCGACAGGAGCTGCCATGCACAGGCCAACCAGCCTATTGCAGACTCCTTATGTTCTTAGGTGCAGCCCTGGATGCAGCACATTCGAGCTGTGGTGGTGACACTGTTACTGTTGGCTGTGAAGAATGGAGCTGTGGTGGTGACACTGTATCTGTTGGCTGTGAAGAATGGAGCTGTGGTGGTGACACTGTATCTGTTGGCTGTGCAGAATGGAGCTGTGGTGGTGACACTGTATCTATTGGCTGTGAAGAATGGAGCTGTGGTGGTGACACTGTATCTGTTGGCTGTGAAGAATGGAGCTGTGGTGGTGACACTATCTGTTGGCGCCCTTAGCATCTTTAGCGCCCTTAGCATTTGCTAACCTCGCGTAATGGAAGCGGCGGCCCTGGTTCCTGCCTCACCAGTCATTGTTCCTGCCGTGTCACATTCTAATTGTATGATAACCGATTACCACTTCATAATGACCAAAATTCAGATAACCTATAGTGAATGATATTCTATTTTATTGTTATATGTGAATTATTTGTGTATGGGAAATTATATTTTGTATTAATGATTTAGTGTGTGCACCATATTGTGAAACCAATAACCGAAAGTATGTTATTTAAAGAATGTGTAACTACTACAGTATACATGTTTTCTGAATGTTACCGCATAATATGAATCTTGGGGAAGGGGTGTCATGGTCATAATGACATGGCTAGTCTGTCAAAACCTAATAATTCATATTACTCTCCACACCCACAAAACCTGTAAACCTTTTTGAGTCTCCCAGTTGAAACATTCGTCTCTAACCACTTCAGGAGATAGTCTTCCGTTATCTATGTCGCATTACCATAGAAACTCGAGTACTGTATACCTAAATTCCGGACAGGATGTTCATGCATTTGAATTGGTAAGAGAATACCCTTGCTTTGTGTCAACTTAGAGATGTCTGATTGCAGTTGAAGCATTCAAGATCCGTTGTGACTGATGTTGAAAGCTTCAATTGTATTTACTGTTAGTGTAATTGTCAATATAAGTCAGGGTAGAGTCGGCAGCGAGAGTGAGGTATCATTGGCGTCGGCCCTAGAGATGTTGACCGAGGCTGAAGTCACCCTCTTTTTACATATGAAA